AAAAAAAAAAAAAAAAAAAAAGACAGGTGCACCCCTATGCTTATTACAATAGCCAAGATATGGAAGCAACTTAAGTGTCCATCAGTAAAAGAATGGATAAAAAAGATGTGGTACATACACACAATGCAATACTATTCAGCCATAAGAAAGAAACAAATCCTACCATTTGCAACAACATGGATGGAGCTAGAGGGTATTATGCTCAGTGAAATAAGTCAGGCAAAGAAAGACAAATACCAAATGATTTCCCTCATTTGTGGAGTATAACAACAAAGTAAAACTGAAGGAATGAAACAGCAGCAGACTCACAAACTCCAAGAGTGCAGCACAGAGAAGACAAGCAGCGACTCTGTGGCATCTTACAATACTGACTGACAGTGACTGCAATGGGGTATGCGGGGTCTCAATAATATGGGTGAATGTAGTCACCACATTGTTTTTCATGTGAAACCTTCGTAAGAGTGTATATCAACAATACCTTAACAAAAAAAAAGAGAGATGACCTTTAATGTCCTTCCTTCTTAAAATAGGTAATGGTCTGTACCACCTAAGTGCTGACAAGTCATGGAAAGGACATAAAAGACATTTTCAAAATTATTAGGATTCTGTGAAACAAGAAACTCAAGAAGATTTGTCCTTCAAAGTAGACTGAAGGACTCTTTTAACAAAAAATTTGACATACCTATCTAGAAACAAGAGAATTGTGCATCCTGCTTTGACATAGATACTCTTATGGGTAAGATGAAATTATCATAGCCTGAACATAGTTGTTCATTCATTCATATCTGTAAGTATCATATACACCATACCACAGGTAGAAAAGTTGAAGGTATATAACCATTCTCACACATAATCTAGCAGCATACTCTGAGAGAAATGAAGTTTGAAGCCAAAAGGAAAACTTTCATGAAAAAATTTAAAAACCCTTCTACCAGGGTTTACCTTATCTGAGATGGTTTAACTCTTGAAGTATATCAGGAAAAGATTCAACTATGGAGAGGTGGTACATAAAAATGCCAACTGGATATATATGAGAATTACAGCTAACTTTGACTAAATACCTACTATGTTCAGGCATTATTCTAAGTTTTCTTATAAGAACTAATTAATCCTTAACATCACTATGAGATAGATATTTTATTCTCCCACTTATACCCAAGGAATTGATGCACAGAGAAATTAACTTGCCCAAATGTCAAGTTAATAGTGGCTAGTCAAAAACTGTCTGGTTCCTACTCTCACATTTTTAGCCACTAGGCAAAGAAGGTTGCACAAATACATATCATATACTTATATACTCTGGGAGGGAGCTAAGATACAGGTAGGGGGTTCTGGTTATCTCTAATGTTTGAATTATTGATAATAAGACTGTATAGAATAGCATAATTAAAAATTTTCATATCTCATAAATGGAGTCACATCTTTTATTGGGCTTTCTGTGGAACTCTTATTTGATTACCACTTGGCACACAACCTACACTTGCCTAAATGAATGGGATTCCCCACTAAGCCTAACATCACAGCAAATGGCAGTGTTCGGAAAGTGAGAAGAGGTGGTTAATACTCTTGACAGGTCATGACAGACACCATTTCTATCCAACTACCAGGAATCTTCCAGATCCACCCTCAACTTCTTTTAGTATGGTGGCTACTCTCCAGGTCCCATCTTCATCTTCATATATGGCTGTGTCCTCTTTTAGCTCAAGTTAATTCATACTACTGAACAATTCATAATGGTAAGAAGGAAGAAGGTGGTGAAAGGTTATAATGGGAATAAGACACAGCTAGTGACTCGGGGACACAGCTAGTGTCCTAGCTTCTCCAAGCTAGGACAGCTTGGAGAATACAGTCAATGATTCTGTAACATCTTTTTATGTTGATAGATAGTAACTGCCCTGAAGGGGGTGAGGATTTAATAATATGGGTAACTGTTGAACCACTGTGTTGTACATCTGAAACCAATATAAGATTGTATATCAACGACACTTTAAAAAAAAAGACAAAGTTAGTGCCTGATCACATACTAAGAGCACAGCAACCTATGGCAGATTGGCCATACATAAGACCATGATGAATGGTTTTCATTAATAACTTTTTATCATAGCTTTATTTCTTACCCATTAAACAAGTTTTTTCTATCTTCTTCCATATTATTCCACAATCATTGGTTAGGTTTCCTCTTCTCTATTACCTATGGGGGGAAACAATCTGTAAGGTTGAGCTAATATATGGCAAGACAAAAGCAATTTCATGAATCTTCTTTATAAATTCAAAAAAGGATCAGCATGTTACAATGCAGTTTAGTGAACTCCCTACAGTCCTCATAATTCATGTAAAACAGTGAAAAAAGCTGTGACTTTTTTTTCAGCTAAGGGCAATCAACAATTCAGTTCCTTGTGAACAGACTGACCCATAAATGGAACATATAAAGTTTACTTCCTGAAAAATGCACTTCTACATTTGTTTTAGGGTTTAAAAACTTACACACTGTCTTTGCTTATAACCTGAAACTGTCACAAAAATCAAAAACATATTCATGGTAACAAAAATACTCAAATATTAAAAGCTAAAGTTATTTTTGTGTAAGTGAAATTTACATTGAAAGATGCCAGGAGGTGACTCCTTCATGTTAGGTGGGATCATGACTTTTGGGCAAGCAGCATGGTTCTTTAAAAGCAACATACATTCTATACACAGGACTTTATGTTAATCAAAGATGTCTGGAATGTAGAACTGGACAAATTACATGTATAATAATTTTTTAGGTTTCTGACACTTTATTCAGGAAGCAGGACTCAATTAGCTTGAGATTAGTAAACTGTCAGCCGCCACGTAACAAGATCAAAGTTCTCTATTTTGTTATCTTAATAACTAACACAAGCATTCCCCTTAAAAGGAACATTCTTTGTGAAAATATGTTCCCCCAATATGGGTCCCCCACCTCTCATGTCCTCCAGTCCCCTTGGGGTGGAAGGTTCCCTGCAGAATCGCTGTTGACATCCCAAAATGGTTGTCAAGAAAAAGAAATTGTTTGCTCTTCATTAAACAAGAGGAGGAATTTATTATTTTACCTTTGAAAAGAACAGGGAGAATCATGAGGAGACAGAAAGGACGAGAAGAAAAGAAGAGTTAGTATAGAGAAGCAAAGCTGGGACTAGGTAGGGGTGAAGTTCTCAGGTCAAGGAAGGTCTGAAAACATTTTAAGAATGGGGATGCCTTACTAGGGAAGCTGCATTAATGCAATGTAAGGCTCACCCCACTTCTATTTTGCCTTCTTTATTCAGTTAGGTGTACTAGACCCAAAAATACTTTGTGCTAACAGGACCTTTCTGAAAATCAGAGGAAGAGCCAAGTGCATGCTGGAGGCACAAGGCAAGAAAGTAAGGGCCCAGGAGGCAAAAGCCACTGCAAGATGATATAAGCCACAAATACTTTTAGGAAGAGCTTACAGATTCCGAATGGTCTAGGCTGGAGGTTTGAGGCAAATTTGTCCAGAAAGCTAAGCTGACATTGTATGGATAGGAGTTTTATATCCATAAAATTTTCCTCTTTGCTATCCAAATAACACTATTTTAAATATAAGAACACAGAAAGATTAAAAGTTAACTTAATTACACTTAAATCCAAGTTATCTGAATTAATGTTGGATGCTCCCCAAAAGCTGACTACAATAATCAGTTTTATATGAAATAAAACCTAGATATGTTACTACATAGAGTTGAGGCTTCAAAGCCCTATGAAACAGCTATTAATTTGAAGAGTAATGACTTCAATAATTATGATGGTGATCTTCAAAACAGGGAAATTTTAAGTCATCTTAATTCTGAAAACTATCAATAAAACTCTACACATTCAAATACATTCCCACTTACATCATTTAAACTACTGCAATATACCATTTTTTTTGCAAAATAAATGTATCTACACATATTCCAGAACTTTTTTGTTGTTGTTATCATTAATATAAAATCACATGAGCAATATTGTGGTTACTAGATTCCCCCCATTATCAAGTCCCCACCACATACCCCATTACAGTCACTGTCCATCAGGGTAGTAAGATGCTATAGAGTCACTACTTGTCTTCTCTGTGCTATACTGCCTTCCCCGTGCCCACCCACCCCATGTTAGGTGTGTGCAATATACTTTTGAATGGAGGGGAGTGGAATAACAGATATATAAAACAAATCACTACAAGCAGGAACAAACTAAAAGTGTGGATGACATTCATTTAAATGGTCATTTAATAAAGTTTATATATTTAAAATATTGTTTATATATTATATATATATAAATATTTAAATATATTATACACATTTAATAATATTTTCAAAAGTTTAAAAAGTTGACCAAGAGAATACTAATACATTTAAATCAGAAAACAATTCAACCAAGATTATACCTTTCCAACAAGGTCAGTCATGTGGCACACTCCAACAAACAATCATTTATTATTCTAAACTGTATTTTGTAACTGCGTTCCCTTGTAAGTTCCTGGAGAACAGCAACAACATCTTGTCTTATTTAGTGAACATCAGTGATACCTAAAAAAGTTCCTCTTCCTTACTAGGTGCTCAGTAAATATTGATAAAAGAATAAGAGGCTGGCTATTAAACAAAGAAAAAATTCAAGTCCATGTGTTATTGCCATTCACATTCTAAGGCACTAACGCTGTAGGCTTATTTCCTACCACCCATTCACTCTGGAATTTTACTATCAAGGATGCCTTGCTGGATTTAAGTGTCTTCCTTGACACAGTCACATTTTTAGCCTATTCCAATCTGTAAGCTCATGTAGGAAAGTATCTGATAACAAAAAGTCTCAGGTATACAGATAATCAGAAGATTCATGCATGAATGCATGCATGCAACATGTGCTTTCACACATACCTCTCAGCTGCCTCAGGATAGCCCTGAGAGCAGAAAAGGTAGGTATGATAACCTAGGAAGTTCCTTCTAATGCTGATTGTTCTGGAGTAGAAACAATGTTCTCATTGTCACTGCCAAAGAACCAGTGGCTCAGAACCTGAGTTAGATGCTTTCTCTATAGTTGGATAGAAAGTCTACAAAATAACATACTTTTAGGTTGATGTCATAAGTAATTACTTTAACCATAAATGATCAGTCATAGCTAATCAAAGTAAAAACAGCCAAAAGCTTTGGAAGATACAAAGGCAGAAGACACTCCTTCAACTAAATAAGGAAAAAATTTTCATGCATCCAAAACTAAATAAAGAAACCTCATGTAAATTTTTAAGAAGATCACAATTAAATCTCTGTTGGTCACTAAGTTAGGAAGCCCATTGTAGAGTGGTGGGAAGAGAGCTGGACTAGGTTCAGGAGGCCTGGGTTTCAGTTCACACTCTCCCACTAAGGTGGCATGCAGTCTACAGTCCCACTAAAATTTAAATTCCAAAATTTTGCAGATATCACATAAAGTAAATAATAATGCAAAAAGAAACATGTTACATTTCTGTGCACAGCATGGACAGCATGAACAAAAGTTTCAAGATCTGCTGACTTTACTGTTCAAAGATTCTAAGTTCTTAGTTTGCCATTGGTTTTATTCACTAACAGCTCTGAATAATGGCATTAAGTTCAACTTTAGGATCTCTGCACAGAAACTGAAAAACAGATTTATGATTTTATGTGAAATACAAAGGGTGCTAGGATTGCATTTACATACTCTGACTCATCTGGGTGGTAAATCTAAGTTCACTTACCAAATGAATTGAGCTGTTTATATAAATATAAGCTGTTTATTAAAATGCTTTTTCACCATTAGACAGAAATGTGGTCCATGGGTTTATGAAGCTCTGATATACACTATACATGAAATGACAACCTAGACTGTGAGCTTCCTGAGGACCAAGACTGTTTCTCCTTCATTTTTGTGTCCTGTTGACTTAACGTATGCTGTTGGTTGAATGAATCACTGATAGAGAGGACCTCCCTCTTTTGCATTTATCTCAGATTTTACTTCTTAGGCAATGTGTATTCTAACATTTATAAAGTATTTTCAGTTGAAAACTTCACACAGCAGTTACCACTGTAAACTGCAATTTTATCACCTCTCTACACGTACACTTTTGTATTAGAACAAAACATTTCATATTGTAAGTTGGTCATGAGATGGTGGTAGTACAGCATGGTGAATATAGTTAATAATTCTGTAACATCTTACCACATTGATAGATGGTAACCGCACTGGAGGGGGTGAAGATTTAATAATATGGGTAACTGTTGAATCACTGTGTTGTATATTTGAAACCAACATAAGATTGTATATCAAAGATACTTTAATAAAAAAGCATTTCAGATTGTTGTAGCCTTCTTAAATAAGAACAATTGGGGATCAATATGATGATGTATAAAAGATCCAGAGGCTCAGACTGAAAGGTGGTCAAGCCCCACATTAGGAATCTTCTTCCCTAAATGCCTGTGTGATAGTTAGAACCAAAATGATTTTAGGAATGCATCTGCCTCATTGATTAATTTCCACATCTAATAAGATACAAGATGGGTCTGTTAATTTATAAGAGACGTAAGACCATGGGAGAGTGAAAAAGCGTTAGATTTAGAATCAGAAGGCTTGGGTTTAAGGTTATCCACTTACTAGCAGTGTGACCTCAGACAACTCACTAATGTCTTGGGACCTCTACATCCCTCACTTGGACATGGATATCACGTCAGCTCTACTCCCTTCCAAGCATGCAATGAAGATCAAGTAAGAAAATGTCTGTGTGAGTGCACTATAAACTGACAAGAGCTGCACATGGGTTAGCTTTTCTTTCCTTGCTACCAAAAACAAGCAAAGACTTCAGATCATTATTCTGGTAAGAAGAGACACTGATATTTGAATATTCCAGGGGCTTGAGGGGCATGTTAGGATAAAAGAGCCTAATCATTCAGGTAGAGCTTAAGAATCCTAAAATGTGTTTGATATCTGGGTCTTTACTTTAGTTAAGTAATACCCTGGTCTTAACTAACAGCTTAATAAGGAATAAAGGGCATAAGCTCTTAGCCAGAGTGGGAATTCCTTCTCACCAAAACCTAAAATAACCTAAAAGCAATAGCATAATATTTGCATTCTCCCCAGTCACCAAGATAAATATATGCAAACAAAAACAATACCAAATCCCATTTACTTTGTAGGAACAGCAATGCCAGCCACAAAAATGAGCACACATCAGAGCTGCTATTTCATCATTGTGCTTATATCTAATCCTGCTTTTAATATTCCCCACATATCATAAATATTATGAATTGGTTGAGTTCAGTCTGCCAGCAAACATTCAAACCATTTTAAAGTATTAATTCTGTCATTACCAAGCACATTTTATAAATATTATACAACAATTTTGTCAGCACAGAGTAATAATTTTAATGGAAAGAGGACATTTATAAACAATTACACTCCTACTAGATACCATGTTGTGTGAGGTGTTTTCACATATATTTGTTCAATTAATTTCATAATGAGATTAAGAATCAGCAGCATTTCACAGATGAAGAAAGGATATTAATTCCCAGTAGGACCCATCTCCTAGCTCCTAGCCTCAGTTTCCTCACCTATCTCACATAGTTGTTGGAGAGTTATGATGTGGAAAGTGCTTGGAGGAGTCAATGGCTTAATAATATTACCTATTTTTCTTGTATTATCTTGTATAAAAAAATATACGTGTAAAAAAATTGAAGGCCTTTCATTATTGAGCTGTTTTTGTTTTCAGGTTTACAATTTAAACACAATAAAGAAAACCCAAATCCTAACTTTCGTGATAATAGTTGGGTTAACTGGATAACCTAGGGTGGGGCATAAGGGAAGATCAAACAGAGAACTTTACACTTACAGGATGGTTACCCCAGCTTTTGTTTTACTACCCTTTAAAATAAACATGTGTTCTAAAGTGTATTTCACATATGACACATTTCACAATAAAAAATAAAAGTTAATATATTTCTGAAGTATGATGATGAGAAAGCATTGTTTAACCTCAGACGCAGGGGAGAGAAAAAACAATGCTCTATCATTCTGAGTGTTCTAGGTTACTGCAGATTATGTACGCAACAGCTTGGCTCAGTCATTGAAAAATTTCCATTGGATTCCACTCAACCCTAAGAGACATTATTTTTCTTTGTAGGTCAGTTGTTATAAAGGGTCTCACTGATTCACTGGGAACACCTCTTTATGACTGTGAAATCTGGAGGTTGTAAGGAAGCTCTGAGGGCTTCTCTTCCAACATGTTTACTTTCCAAGTAAGGGAACATTAGACACCTTAGCTTCCAGACAACAGGATTTCCCCACTCTGTTCCCAGCTGTTACTGCTAGTCACCAATGTGACACAAAGGAAGGGGCAGAGCCCACTCTTTCAAATGCCTCACAATAGCGACTACAGAAAAGGTAAATTTATACCAAACCATCAGGAATCTGTTAAAGACCTAATATGTCCCCCAAAGGATATTACTGAGGAGTCCAGAACTCAGTCAAAGAAGGCACTCTGAAAATATGTGTATAAGTGGGTTTATTCAAAAGTATAAAGCAGGGTTTCTGTTCCCAGGATTTCACATACAAATAAAAATAACCAAAGAATTCTATGTCAGCATATAATGAGTTTGGTGATGTTCTGGGGCCAAATTGTACAAAGTTCAAAATATAGAAGGGAAGGGGAAGTAAGGCAAAAGATTTATGTAGCATGGAGTAAAAGGGAGAAGGGGTCTTAGAAGACTTGAGAATTGAAATGTTAAACATCAGTAAAGAAAGCATGCTAGGATTTCTCCAAAGAAATCTGATGACATTTTTTTCAACACCTGTTTCCTAAACAGGTATTCCAATTTGTTCTAAATAATTTTACCTGCTGTAATTATACTCAGGAAAGAGTTTCCACCCTCCCCCTCAAAGAACTTTTGATATCCACTGAGAAGGGAATAGTAGGCAGGAAAAAAAAACCTCTTAAACGCTAAATATAAATTCTTCAAAGCAGAAACATCTTTAAACAGTGAGTCACAAATTTTCTCAAGTTTTAAAGTTCGCCAAAATAAAACTACACCCCAAATAATAACAGGAAGAAAAATATAAAAAAGAACAAAATTCTGTAACTGCAACTTAAAGCCTATACAAAATTAACATTTGGGTAACATAAGCAAAGGGTAAAGGGTTCTTGTCTTCAGTTACTTTAATGAGATACAATAGGACCATACTTGTAATGAAAAGAACACAGAAGAGACTCGGTTCTATTTCAGATAGATAAGTGAATATAAGTAACCCACTTTTGCTCACTGGTCTCAGTTTCCTCATCTGTAAAGGAACATAATGGTCGAAATTTCTATTATTCTCTCTGTAAACTTCCCAAAGCCATTCAGATGTCATTCTCTTATAGCAAGTTATATGTAGGGGTTAATCTATGAGTAGCAAAAAGATAAAATGAATTTGTTATATACAATTCTGCTACTGTAGCAAAAATTTGCAATTGCCACAAGCTATTCACCTAGGAAGTCTTATACTGAAACAGGGCATCAAAGAGATAAGCCTGGATTTTCAGTGAAAGATGATGTGTTGAACACCTGCACTTACCTCTCTCCTCCCTCTGTAACTCCATTAAAATGGCAGTAAATCTGCAAGTCAGGAATAAGAAACAATTACAACAAAGTTTCTGGAACCTGATAAGCAGCTGGATAAGTTACTGGATTTAGCAGGGCAAAGAAAGTAAAAACTAAGAGCATGTTAAGAGGAAGCCCAGAGGAAAATGAACTGTGCCAGGATATAGCAGAAAATCTCAGAACATACCTGAAAGTGGAGATAGCATGGAGGGCTTTAAAAAGAATAGGGTAGCAACAACATGGATGGAGCTAGAGGGTATTATGCTCAGTGAAATAAGCCAAGTGGAGAAAGACAAGTATCAAATGATTTCACTCATATGTGGAATATAAGAACAAAAGAAAACTGAAGGAACAAAACAGCAGCAGAAGCACAGAACCCAAGAATGGACTAACAGTTACCAAAGGGAAAGGGACTGGGGAGGACAGGTGGGAAGGGAGGGATAAGGACGGGAAAAAAGAAAGAGGGCATTACAATTAACATGTATAGTGTGTGTGGGGCACAGGGAAGGCTGCGCAACACAGAGAAGACAAGTAGTGATTTTACAGCATCTTACTATGTTGATGGACAGTGACTATGAATGGGTAGGTGGGAGGGACTTGGTGAGGGGGGGAGCCCAGTGAACATAATGTCCTTCATGTAATTGTAGATTAATGATACCAAAATAAAATTTAAAAAAAAAAGAATAAGGTAAGAGTTCTACTGCAAAATTCCCACCCTGACCCCAAGAAGGCCAGAGATCAGAGAATGGGAAGTTTATTATCTGGAAATCAGAAAGACTCTGAACTTAAGCATAAATAGGGGCAGGCCTACTAGTCTAAAAAGATTGTGAGTGAGGGAAAGTTGATACTCTGAAAGGTAGATATCCCAGCTCTTTCCCTAAATGCTGCAGCCAGGTATATAAGTCAATGATTGGGGCATACTCTCTGGGGAAGAACATAGCCAAGAGAAAAGCACCTACAAATACTGACTGCTAGAGGTGACCCCCCCCAAAAAAGTTGGGTCCCTGGTATAATGAAGACCAACAATTAACTTTTGGAAGTCCCCACTCCAGCAAACCCAGCTTTCAGTTTTTCAGTGGCTGGTTATGGAATAAGAGTAAGACAGCAAAGGCTATACATTTAAGGAAATCTCCTAAATGAAAAATCAAAACAAATGATTAAGTAAAGATATTTTAAAGAAACAGAGATGTTGTGGGAGGTTGAAAAACAAATTAACTCTAATTAACATACGCAAAGAGGAGCTATTCCATCCACAAAACAAAAACAGAAGACTATTAAAAAGCAACATTCAGAGAAAAAGACTCTTGAAAATTAAAACATATCAGAAACATAAAACTAATTAGAAGCATCTGAAGATGGAAGTTCAAGACATCTCCCAGAAAGCAGAACAAAGAGACAAAAAATTGAGAAATAGAAGAGATGGGAAAATCAAAACACTCATCAATGCATACATTCCAAACACAAATAATAAAAGTTCCAGAGAGAAAGACTAGGGAAACTAGGGGCAAGGGGAGAAGGAGGTTGGTTAGAACTTAAGAATTCAAGAAAATCTCCCCAAACTGGAAAATCTGTCTCCAAACTGAAAAGGCCTTTGGTGTGCCCACTAAAACAAGGCCCATGGTAAAGCAGACTATCATAAAACTTCAGAACATTGGAGACAAAGATAAATAAGATCCTAAAAGCAACCAAGAAAGGGAAAAAATCAGCATCAGAATACCATCAGATTTTCCATTAGCAACAACAGAAGATAGAAACTAAAAGAGTAATACCTGTTAAACTCAGAGAAAATATTATCCAATTTAGAATTTTATACCCAAGAAAAGTATAAAGCAAGTATGAAAGAAAATGAAGACATTTTCATACATGCAGGTTCTCAAACAAATTTACATCCCACACATCTTTTTCTTATGAACCTACTAGAGGAATTGCTTAATTAAAGAGTAAAAATGAAGGAGAAAGATATGGGGTCCAGGAAACAGGAGGTCCCAACATAGAAAGGTGAAGGAAATTCCTAGGTTAAGTAAGAAGGTAGATCTAAGGATGACAGATGTGCAGGTCTAGAGAAGAGCCTATACAAACTTAAAAATAGCAGTATGTAAGCATATTATTTAACAACTAGAAGAGTAGAAAATCAAGGTCCCTGAAAAGGCAGAATGTTGAGGAGAGGAAAAGTAAGTATTGTTTTTTTCTACTATCTACAGTTTTAACATTGCTAAATATTAAATTTAAAAAGATTCTTGAAAAGGTTAAAAAGAATATCTTAAAATCACATCTAAAAACATAATTTTCCAAGCAAGATTTCTGCGGGGGAAAAAGCAATTTTCAAGGCACACCAAAATCAAAGTATTTGAAAACTCTATACCTTAGCATACAGTGTGACTCTGTTTGAGAAAAATTAAGAACAGGAAAGGTTTTGCTGATAAATGGGACTCTAAGGTCACAACCACAAAACCAGAAGAGAGTGAGAAAGGAAAATTTTTAACATATTATGGTATTTTTGGGAAAAGATCATGGTTTATGGTTTCATCAATCACTTCACAAATTAGAATTCCACTTAGTCAAGCAGATGCTAAACCAAAGTCAAAATAGTAACTTGATTGCCTCACATTTGGGTCAGAAATGAAAACACTTAAAAACTGTATTGTTTCCTCAGGAAAGGAAAGTTCAAATAGTGTGAATTTGTTGGAACAAGTCAAGGAGCATTTTGTGTCAAGAGTCACTTATCCTTCCCTGAAGACTGAAACAAATACTGGGATTCATGTGCAAATCTGAAATAACTGTATCCCAATTTTCTCTAAGATCCTAAGAAGTGGCCCCTCAATTAGGAAACATGCTTTTCTCTCTTCTCAAATATTTTAAAATTTAAAATATATTTTCTATTTCCCTTTCATGCAAAAATGAGGAGTATAATATGGTATTTATTCATCATATTTAATATCATCTACTTATATTCAAGGAGTGTTAAGATCATAATTATTCAAGAGTCGGGCTCTTCAAGGACAGACAAGTAGAGAAGCTGTTGCCTATTACTCAGTTTTCTGACATCTAGGGAGACTGTACAGGGGAAATAACTGGATCTGATATTTTTTAAATAATATTCTATCGATTTCTGACCAGGGGAGATTTTTTTAAACCAATCTGATGAAGTACTTTCCCCCCATATCTATTCTGGTAAAAACACTTGCTCTCACAGCAGCATAAATGCAGACAATGAGGACAGATGAGCAGGTGTTTTAACGGTGGCCTTCTCTACAGCTTTCAAGTTGAATGCTTAAAAAAGTCTCTTGGAATAGGGAATGAAACAATACTTGAATCATCTGCATAAAGTACGATGTTCTGCTCTTTTTGAAGTTTGAGAAAATACATTAATACCTTACAAAATACAATGCTTAAACAAAAGTTCCTCCAGCTTTAAGAAAAACACAAAACACTGTTCAGATCTACTCTCTTAGCAATGCAGAAAGAGAAGAGATCGTTAAAGTCCTCACCACAAGGGGAAAAAAAAAGATTTGTAACTAAGAACGGTGACAGACATTAACTAGACTTACTGTGATCATTTCACAATATAGGCAAATATCAAATCATATTATACACCTGAAACTAATACAATGTTATATATCAATTATTCCTCAATACAAATTTTAAAAAATACTATGTTCATTCTTTCATGCTTATTTCACAGAAGGGAAACAAATAACTAGAGTATAAGGAAATGTTCAAACTCACTAGTAATGAGAAAATACAAATTACAATGAAACATTACTAAATAGAAAAAATTAGAACTGTTTTCAATAGCAAATGTTGGGGAGGGTGGGAATGCAATGCCTGTGAGGTATAAAATGGTGGTACACCATGCAGCAGCCTGACAGTACTTGTGCTACAATGCCACTCCTGAGTCTGTATCACAAAGAAATCCTCAAACATGTCCATAATGACACATACAAGACTGTTACTGGTAGCACTGTTTATGGTAGCCTAGGCATCCATCACTATGGGAATAGATGCACAGAATACCAAGCTGCAGTTAGAAGCAATTAAGCTATGTGTACATCCAAATACATATACAGTTCTTAAAACATAGTGTTGAATAAAAAAAGTAAAAACCAGAGAAAGGTTTACAGCATTTTTTACAGGAAGAATTCTTTTTTTTAAAATTTTTTTATTGAGGTATTATTGATATACACTCTAATGAAGGTTTCACATGAAAAAACAATGTGGTTACTACATTTACCCATATTACCAAGTGCCCCCCATGCCCTAGTGCAGTCACTGTCCATCAGTGTAGTAAGATGCCACAGATTCACTGTTTGCCTTCTCTGTGCTACACTGTTTTCCCAGTGACCCCCCACACCATGTGTGCTAAACATAATACCCTCAATCCCCATCTCCCTCCCTCCTGATCTGCCCTCCCACACCCCTCCCCTTTGGTAACCACTAGTCCCTTCTTGGAGTCTGTGAGTCTGCTGCTATTTTGTTCAACAAGAATTCTATAGTCAAATTCTACAACAGTGTGGTATAATGAACAATTTATGAATTAAAAAATATGTATGCAAAAAAAACCACTAAGTATTTTAGAAAGATGCATATAGAATCAAGGACATATATCAAACATAATAGAGAGGGTACTTGTGGAGTGGGTGAAGAAAATAGACATGGGAATGGAAGATGAACAAAAAAGCCTTTATACACCAATGATAGACTGTGCTCACATCACAGAGTATGAAGTCCAAATTCAGAATATTTTTCATTCATGCATATATTAATTTATTCAGTAAAGACTTACTGAACACCACTTAAGTGCCAGTACTGTGCTTAAACATAAATTTTCTTGTTATTTCCACTTGATTTTAGTTTTTTAAACCTCAAAAAGATACATGTTTTAAGATATGCTTTAACTGGAAGTGATAGGGAAAACTAATTTAATTAGAATATATTCTGTAAAGTGAGAAATTCATTGTTCTTCAAGGTTTTATACATTTTTTCATCAAAATAAATACACTTGAAGTTCTATAAAT